GGTATGGATTTCGGGTTGATCCCGTGGTCGCGCTCACGGACCGTTTGGTTTCGTATAGCCCTCCGCGTTGCGTCTCACGTGCAAACAAGGTGATCTTTCGGACTCGTTTTTTTTTTTTCTTTTCTCTTTTTTGGCTAAGCACATGTATCTTTCTATTAGAGTAGGATTTGAATTTTGGTTCATCATATTATAAGAGGCCAGTCCTTCTGTTGAACTCAATACTCTTGGTACTTTTCTTCCATTTTACCTCACCAGTTCAATGGTTTTCCTCCAGGGGATAGCTTAGCCTCACCTAACCCAGCCTTAATTTTTCTTGGGTTGGGTTTCATAGGGGCCTATGATAGGGCCAGCTGCATGGATCAAAGGAGAAAAACCTGCCTTGGGCATATGATCAAGTTGGAAGCTCCATTTCCTTCAGCCTTCAGGAATGGGGACTGTATTACGTAGCTCAAGCAATAATGCAATATCCTTGGAACGACTCGGGGAAACAAGAATTTAAGGGTTCGTTTGGTATGAAAGAAAATAAGAGAAGGGGACAGGAGAAAATTTTTTAATAAGCTCAGTTTTAAAAATTAAAAAGGACAGTTAAAGGTTTTTAATTAATTTTTATTACTCTTTTATATTACTTCTTTTTATTAAAATTTCAAAACCCCACGTTTCTGATTTTTTAAATAAAACTCATTAATATTTTCCTTCCTTTTCCTTTCCCTCCATTTCCCTCGTATCAAACGGTACCTAATATATTAGTTTATTTTACCAGTTAGGGCTGTGTGATCCAGATATAGTTTCGGGTCGCAACAAGTCGTAGATTCCTTCGGGTCAACATCAGCTACCGCAGATTTGCTTCTGCTAGCTAAGAACTGCCAGACTTGACGAAAGAAACTGAAATTCAATTAGTTTGCTTTAATTGCAATTTGCCAGCTTCGCCCTGTAACATCTTTCATAATAAAACTGAAATCCTTTAGTTTTTCTTTAAACAATCTGAATACTTCCAGTGTAATATCGAAAGGTATTCTTAAAATTAATAAAGTACCAGTCCATACATATGGCTGGCCGGCTTCGTACAAAAGAGTCACATATGTGCGAGAATAACATGAGATCCTTGCACACATCTATGAAACCTTATACATAAAGAGAGCACAATCTATATAACTAATCTCTACGCAAGTATAGAATATATATGTATATATAGATATATATAAGCTGCTTTTATTTTCGGTCGCACATAGATATGAAGGCTTGTTCTTCTTGGTGGAGGAAGAGTAAGGTTTGGCTATGGTTGTGGCTTCCCAAACTTAGGAGGCTTGTGATCACCTTCTCCTTTCTTGGTCTCTGGCTCATATTGCTGTTTGCAGTTGATGAGTGATCGACATGGCTTTTCCAAATGAGGAGGCTTCTTCTCCATAAATGGCTTCTGATCTGCAACACATAGGTTGGTGGCACACAAAAAGCAAAGGAACAACACTACCAGCAAGGATGAGGAGGAAGACATCTTCATTATGGTTTGTCTGATGATTTTCTCTCAACAAACCCAAACAAGGTAGCTAATTAACTTGCTATTTATAATGATCTCAGACCTCTGCTGGCCGTTCATTCCCCATCCGACGGTGGATGCATCCAGAGGTGGTATAAAGATCAAGGCTATTCTGAGAAAAGAGTTACCGTACTTTCGAGTAGTATAGCATGCCTTCTCTATATCTTTTTATGTAGCTACAGTATCATCTCATTGGTCCCAAAAAAAGAGTATCAAGTCATAAGGATAAAAGGTTTTCCATAACTCATGTTCGTTTTAATGGTACGTATATGTATGTGTCAATATTTTGGAGTTATTATTATTTTTTTAAAAAAAAAACTTGACCAATCAATCAATGATGTTGTCGATTATCCCTTGTCATGAGTAGTAGGGGGTTGGTGAGTCCGTGAGTGAGTCGGTAATAACATCTACAACAGTTCATTGAGTGGGAGTGGAAGAAATTTTATATATCGAATTAATAAGACAGTATCTATATGAAAAAATTATTATTAAATTGTATAATTTTTTTTGCCAATTATTTAAGTGTATAAATTGTATTTTATTAAAACTGGATGAAAAATTATTAAAACTTGATAGCAAATATCTCCAAACTTAATATTTAACAATAGCTTTAATTTATTTAATTCTCTAACAAACGAATTTTTTTCTCAAGTCATCCGGATGTCCTGACTCCTGAGTAATAGCAGGTGAGGGCGATATCATTGCGAAAGGGGAAAAAAAAACAAAGTCCACCGCTGAAAAAATCAAAGAAGTTTAGAGTGTACATGTAAACTACACTTTTTTTTTGAAAAAAAAGCTTTTAATACAGCTGATCATGTAGCCAAATAAAGGTAGGTTCAAGGTGCGAAAAGTGGTGGATTCCGTCAGCGTCAAATGTCAAATAATCGGTTCCTGACCACCGTAGATTTTTCTTCAAAGAACAACTTTCTTTGGCGCTCAGTACGGTTCTGAGTTGATAATTGATTTTGATATGTATTGAAATATTTGAATATTTTTTAAAGAATATTATAATTTTAATTCTCATAATTGATTAGGAGAGCCATCCAAACAGGCTAAAATGGCCTTGTAACACCTTTCATTATTAAAAAAAAAATCATTTAGTTTTTTTCTTTAAAACAATTTGAATATAATAATTCCCATGTAATATATAGGGAGATTATATTATATTGGTTATATACTACCTTCAGTCCTAATTATAAGAACCAGTTAACTAATTTGAGAAAATTAAAGAAAAAAGCTAAGTTAGTTATTTGTAATAAATAGGTATTGTCTCTCCTAAAATATCTTTACTAATCAAGTATATTGGCTAAAACTATAACTATTAGAAGGACTATCTTGAAAAAAATTGAGTAAATGTGAGAGACAAAATGGATTGAGGTCTTATATGTAGAACCAACATAAAAGTCAAACGGGGTCTTACATTAAGGACTGGAGGTAGTATTATTTTCTATACTAAGATATCATAAAATGTCATAATTCCACGCATTGACACGAACATCCTTGCACGCACTATTACTTGTATATTAAGATAAAGCACAATGCGTGACGAATTTAATTTCTTGGCAAGCACATATATATGTAAGGTGCTTTTATTGATCAGACAGAAAGAAGGTTCTTCATCTTGATGGATGGAAGAAGAGTAAGGTTCGGCTATGGTGGGGGCTTGTAATTAAGCAGCTCCCGTGGTCTTGGTCTCTGGCTCATGGTGCTGCTTACGGTGGAAAGCCTGACATGGCGCTGGCTTTTCCAAACGAGAAGGCTTCTTCTCCAGAAATGATTTATAGTTGGGAACTTTCCATTTATAGCAGCTTAAGACTTGAGACTATTGCGGCCCTTCAACTAGTTTGTTTATTCAATTTTGGTCTCATCATCCAAAATTGAATATTGTGGACTAGCCGCCTATAAAGACCAAAGCTAGTATTTGGATATTAGTTAACTAACTACACTTGACCGTCTAAAGTGAGTATTACTACTCCACAAATAAATGTAATTTGTCATGTATTTAATATGATATTTATATACTGGGGATTCTTCACGAATAAAAGAACTAGTTTGTTATCAGTACATCATCAATGTTAATATACTCCTCTAGTCCTAATTATAAGACCCAATTGACTTATTTGAGGAGATTAAGGAAGTAAGTTAAGTTGGTTATTTATAATAAATAAGTGTTGTCATTCTTAAAATATCATTGCTAATTAAGTATATTGGCTAAAACTATCATTATTAGAAGGATTATCTTGGAAAAAAATGAATAAATATAAGAGACAAAATGGACTGGGTCTTATAATTAGGACCAAATAAAAAGTTAAATTGGACCTTATAATAAGGACAAGAGGAGTATAATTATTATAATGACTTGTTGTAATCATAATTTGTTTTGGATAGGTGGGTGTGCCGAACAAGTCAAAGAAGGGAGTACTGACATTGCCGTCTCTTTATTAATTTGGTCTTACTCGGCACCAAATTTTGACTTCTCCGGCGCGATATGGGACACTTCATCCAATTTGCTGGCTGTCTCTTTCTTTTACCCTTTGATTATATTGGCTCATTCCACAATTATTGATACGTAGCTGCCTTCCATCAACGACTTTTATTTGCAAAGTTCCAAGAGCGTTCTTAAAATTGCCAGTCACATGTGGCTAGTTGGAAACATAAATCTCAATGTATAAATCTTCAGTATTTTGATGTCAAACCGATCCAAAAATTTGTGATAAGTACGTGAATATACAGTAACTACGGGGATATACAGAAACATAAGTCAAGGTTCAACTTTTTATTGAATTACCTGATAAAAATGTAATATGTGAAAAAATTCAGAGAAATCAATCACGTAATATGGATTCAAAAAAAATTATATCAAAATATGAAAGTCTTATCTTGCTTGTAGTCATTAATTTTGTGTTAATGTGCTGTTTAACTATTTCAACTTAATTTATATATAAATAAAAAGCTTTAGAAATGGCAAAAAGAACGCGAGCTTCGTAGCAAGTGTTTTCCAGGAAGGAAAAAAACAAACAAACAACCAACGAAGAAGGAGAAGCAAAACAAACCACATTTGTTAAAGCATTGGCAAGACTGAGTAAAGCCTGCTTAATAAGCCCGATCGAACACGCTGGCCTGTTGTGGGTAAACTGATGGCCCAAGACATCTTATAATTACGTGATTCTGATCATTGATGAGGTTCTGTTTTTGCTGGAAATATAATTATATCTTGGATGTAATTAAGGATCAATGAAAGTGGAGTTAGGGTAAGAGACATGTTACAGTAGATCATCGATATATCACAAAGACATCAGAGAGGAGGACGTGTTTGCATCCATGCCCATACACACTAAAGCACCAAGTCACGGAAAGGTTACAAAAAGAGGGAAAAAAGACACTGGAAGTTGTAATACAACGCTACTAGGTGACAAACAGAGGTCATAGACTTCATGTTCATAACGATACTGAGACACGCTTCAAATCATGGGTCACTCAGATTGCTCATGGAGGGTACTTGGTATAATTGATGAGCATAAGGTGTTTTTTGCCCGGACATCTTGTACACGGGCGGCTTTTTGACTGGAGGCCTGTGAGTGGGAGACTTCTCAACTGATGGTTCTTTGGAAGTGGGAGGCTTTTGATGAATATGCGGGTTGTAAAGGATTTTTCCAGATGGAGGCTTATGAATAGGTGGTTTTTGAAGAGGTGGCCTGTGAACGGGCGATTTTTGAAAGGGAGGCATGTGTATAGGTGGCTTGTCGGGAAAGCCAGAGGTGGTGAGAAACAACGCCACTCCACACAGGAACACTAAGGGAATGGGTGACATTGTCAACAAATGATGTAAAACGAAGAGCGCATAAACCTTTGAATTTATAGTACAAGAGAAATGGCGCAGCATCTACAATATTTTGCCCATTGATTGATTGATGTTCTTCACAGATCGCCAGTTATCGCTTTCCTCCAACGAAATGCTGCCTCTTTGTGTTCGGCCTGTAAAATCACAGACGATCTGAATGATTCAGTGGTTTCAAAAATGGGCAACCCTTTCATTTACATTTACTATTGCAATTAGCCACCACCGAAGCAGCTGAAGGGGCACGTAGGAACGCAAGTACCAATAAAGCTAATTGTGACTTTTCAATCACCCAAAAATCGACCATGCTTCGATTTGATTCGTTTTTTTTTTTTCATAGTCACTGCCCTCGTTTTGGGAGTGGTAAATATCACTATATATCACGTATGTATGATTAAACCAGGCCTGTAGATGGCAAGTATTTTCTAGAAAATAAGGGGAAATATAAACAAGGTTCTCAAGGCCTAACGGCAAATGGGTTGTCCACTATTTCTCGGGGGCCAGAGTTGTAAAAGCGTGGTAGACTGAGTAAGGCTTATTTAAAGAGCCAAAACAGGCCCGGCCCGTTCTAAGAATCATCCTGTTCTTTTATAAATTTTTTTCCCGTTATCTGTCAGGAAAAGTTAGTCCAATTAATAAAGAATTAGCTCATAACATACAAGATCATAAGTTTGAATCTTATTATCAATATGAGGACTTTATCGATAAACAATATGTAAGTACATCTGCAAATACTTTTTAAACTTAAACGTATGACTTTACTTTAATAAACCCAAATATCCAACTCATTTAAATTTTTTTATAAAAAAATTCTCCCTTTTGTTATCTATTACCTCCTGTCTTAATTACAATACCTTATTTATAATTATTGTAATTAAGAGCAGAGATAGGATAATTTTTATTTCGATGATACATGATATGAGTGGTGATGGGGAGACGCACGTAGGAAGACCGACAGGAGAGGGCATACAGACACGTCGGGGGATGGCAGTGGCAAAGAAGTCGCAGAATGATTTTTATTTATAAATAATATTATCTGCTCAATTATTCAGCGGCGGCAAAGTTTGACTACACCAAATGCATAATACAGACGCTGATTTTTATTATATATTTTCTTTGGCCTGAATTTTTATTATATTATTTGGAGTACCAGAAGCAACTTGTACTGACTTGCAAACAGACAGTGCCATTTCTTATACACGTGAATGCATTAATTTTTATTTTAAATTAAACATATTTGTCAAATCAATATTTTCTTAAGAATGTTGGCCAAAAACTTTTTTCTTGAAAATAAATTTGCCTTAATAAATTAAAAATCCATTATAATCTAAGAAAGGAAAAATATTTAAAATAATTATTTTCTTTCATTTTTTCATCAAGAGTCTTGCGATGTGCAGTAGAAAGTTTGACATGTTTATATTTGAGGGAGACGAGAATTTTTTAATCATGTGAAGAAAATTTTTTAGAATGAAATAGAAGTTAAGTGTGAGCTTTTTTTTTTGGGTGGGGAAGCAGTCCGTTAAAATGCTTTTAATTTAATAATATTTTGACCCCGGTATCGGGTTACGACCCGTCTTCAATTTTTTTTCTTCCTCCACCCACCATAAAAAAAAAACCCTTTCTTTTCCTGGCGAAAACCCAATAAAAATGATATTTCACCCTACATCAACAAGTGGTTCTCTCCATTATAAGTTTAGACAGATTATTAAATTTAGCACAGTTATATTTTAAATATATTATACAATTCCTAACTATAAATATACAAAAACCTAAAAATGAAAAAAAATGTTACACACGCTTATTAATGCATATAAATATATATTCTTAATTGTGATTGTTGGGCGTTGGCTATACATCTACTGAATTTGTCATCAGGTGATGATATATGCACCGAACGCCTTCTTTAATCTTCAATTTAATTTATTGAACGAGATAATCCAATTTTTCGTGCGGACATATATGACCCGGTAATCTTTGTTTATAACAACTTGTAAGTAGAGGGAAGTAAATTGAGCTCGTGAATAACCAAGTATCGTCCGGAGTTCACTGGTGAATAGCTGGCTTTCGAATTCATTAAGTTCAGAAATGGACCACTTAAAACCCCTTACGAATTTATAGTAACGTTGAATTTTGAGTTATTTTCCGTAGCATCTTGAAGTTGTGGATGTTTCATTTCAAAAGGAAAAGAATTAAGCCATTATATGAATTAAATATACAGTATTAATCCGAGCTTATCCACTACGCATAAATTAACCTATGATGTCTTGCAATCACGATTACTAAAAGTTGGCGAGAATGATCAGTGATTAGATTCTCAGAAAGACATATAGTAAATATATATCCAATGAATTACTTCGTATTTTTTCTTGGTAAAAAAAAATCATTACAAAATTCAGCTTCCTGTTAAACATTTAGAGAGAGAGACTAGCATAGTATAGCCTGGACGTCTATTGAAATTCTGATCATACTTAATTACAACGACGGAGGAGCCGAGGAGGTATGAGGGCGTTGTCGGACGAGGGATAACGGTGCGTCTATAATATTTTATGAACATTAAAAGTTAAAAATAAAAAACAAGTCCAGGCGGATAGGTGTGTGATCTCGGAATAATATAAACAAAGAAAAGAAATTCAGATATCTAAACTTAACTCGATTATCAATTGTTGACTGGTAGATTTGCCGTTATAATACTAATACTAATTCAGAACTATTCTAAACAAGTTTTTGGCCAATTATAAAGGGAAATAGACTCATTCCCCCAAACATGAAAGCTCGACTCAAGCGTCTCCAATCCATTGCTTGGCTGATCTGAGAAAAAACCCTACGATTCTCAAAGAGCTAAGGTTTTACTATCTCCGGTCTTTAATATAAGAGTTAGTTGACTAATTTAAGTAGGTCAAAGAAACTAGTTAAATTAGTTATTTGTAATAAATAGGTGTTGTCTTTCCTAAAATATCTTTACTAATCAAGTGTATTGGCCAGAACTACTATTATTATAAGGATTACCTTAAAAAAAAAAAAGACAAATGTAAGGGACAAATTGGATTGACGGTCTTATATTCAGAACCAAAATAAAAATTAAACAAGCTTTTATATTAAGGATAAGAAGTAGTAACTTTTTAAGAATTACAAAAATAAGTCATCAGCGATATGCTCTTTTTAATTAAATTATTATTCATACTGATGACATTTTTTGTTAAACTGATATTTTGTATTCGTTACTATAGCGTACTACCAGTAGACAAAAGTATCTTCTTTTTTTTTTTACCTCGTACAAAAGTCTCTTTGAAACATCAAAATATTAAGCGCTGATTTTATAAATTTTAAATATTTTTATAAGTTCCTCATAATTTCGTGTATCACTTGGATCGTTTACATTTTTTCAGTCATGTGTGTAGTCTTTATGATTTCTGCTTTAGTAGATGCGGATCTTTTTATTAGATCATCAGTCTGGTAAATATATATAGATACATAATCCTAGTTACCTGGGGTTTCAGAATGTTAGAACATAGAATATTTGTATTGTATTTATAATCAGTGTACACCTGTAGCTATACGTGTAAGGCTCAGATTACATGTTTCTCTCACTGTAACTATTATTTAATGCAAAGGCTGGGTATACCTTCGGTACCCAAGAATATTCCCTCAATTCTTATCCATTTTCTCTCTTGGTACCAGAGCCCTAGCCGCCATGTCTGCGTCTTCTGCTGACTCCTCAGTCTCTTCCAAAACCTACTCCCTTTTCAGCTCCTCGAGCCAAACGAGCTCTATCAAGTTGGATAGAGAGAATTATTTATTTTGGGAATCGGTGGTTTTACCGTTGATAGAAGGCAACAAGCTAGAGAACCACATTGATGGCTCTGTTTCAGCTCCCTCTCGTCATATCTCCGAAGGCGGTCGGACGATCCTCAATCCTGCATTTGAAGAATGGTTTTCTGTTGACAGACTTCTTGTTGGCTGGCTCCGTAACACAATGACTCAAGAGGTAGGAGCCCAACTTCTCCATCACAAGACAGCACGAGACCTCTGGGTTGGAGCTCGTGAGCTAACCTGTTCATCACTGAAATCCCGAATCATGGTGTTCAAGTCGGAGCTCCATCACACTCGGAAGAATGGAATGAAAATGGCTGACTACCTAACCAAGATGAAGAACATTGCTGATCAGCTTTCACTTGCCGGTGCTCCAGTAGACACGGCAGACCTCATTCTCCACACTCTGAATGGCTTGGATTCAGAATACAATGCCATAGTAGTGAAACTTATTGATAACCCAGATCTGACTTGGGTTGGTGCCCAATCTGCCTTGCTTGCATTTGAAAGTCGCCTCGAGCAGTTGAACCATTTTGCAACTCTTACCATTCAGCCAACTGCAAATGTTGCACAGAGCGATGCCTCTTTTCCTCATGACACTGGACGAACCTCAACCAATCGAAACTCCTGGAGAGGTTCACGAGGCTCCCGTGGTAGAAGAGGTCGTGGACGTCGAGGACAATTTCACAATGAGGGACGCCCCTACTGTCATTACTGTGATCGTTTTGGGCATTTTGCTGCTAACTGTTATCATCGCAACACTCAGCCTCCACCTGCTAGCTATGGAAATTTCTCTCCACGGGCATTCTATGCTACCCCTCATACGGTTTCTGACCCATCTTGGTACATGGACAGTGGTGCATCGTATCATGTAACTTCCAACACCTCTCAGCTGGACAACTATACTCCTATAGGTAATGCTCATCTCTATACTTGTACTGGAGAAAGAACCCCTGTGGCTGGTATAGGTTCAGCTTCTCTCCCTGCATCTAATTCTAATCTATGTCTTAAAGATGTCCTGTTAGTACCATCTGCTACTAAAAATCTTGTGAGCGTTCAGAAACTTGCTCAGGATAATGCCGTCAATGTGTTGTTTTCTGATGTCTCTTGTGTTGTGAAGGACAAGATGACAGGGCGTCCTCTGGTGCACGGGAGAACAAACCAAGGGATGTATCCAGTGGCTAGCGTGCAACGTCGAGCTCAAGTTAATATGGCTGCTTCACCACGTCTAGGACGAGGTTTTGAGGAGTTTATCAAATGGCATTACAAATTAGGACATCCCAGTAATAGAATAGTACAACAGATTCTGAATAAATGTAATGCAAAAGTTGTTGTCCATGACAATTTTGTTTGTGAAGCATGCCAATACGGCAAATCAAAGTATTTACCATTTCCTAAATCTTTGTCTCATTCGAATTCTCCTTTAGAATTGGTTTATACTGATTTGTGGGGTCCGTCTCCTGTTCAATCACCCAATGGTCATCGCTTCTATATTCAATTCTTGGATGACTACAGCAGATATGTCTGGTTATATCCATTGAAGCACAAAGGGGAGGCAGTAAATGCTTTCAATGTTTTTCGAGCACAAATGGAAAACAAATTTAACACCAAGATAAAAGTTCTTCAATGTGACAATGGGGCTGAATATAAACCCTTTGTGCCAATTACACAGGCTGCTGGTATTGAAATGAGATACACATGCCCATACACTTCTGTACAAAATGGCAGAGCAGAAAGAAAACACCGCCATATAGTAGAAATGGGTCTCACTCTCATGGCTCAAGCACATGTCCCACTCACTTACTGGGTCGATGCCTTCCAAACTGCTGTCCATTTAATAAACCGGTTACCAACTCCTGTTCTTGAAGGCTCTACTCCTCTTTTTCAACTATTTCAGACTGAACCAGACTATAATTCTTTGCATCCATTTGGGTGTGCCTGTTTTCCGTGCTTGAGGCCATATCATGATCATAAATTTCAATTCCATAGTCAGAAATGCATTTATCTTGGTCCAGCTCCCCAACAAAAGGGTTTCAAATGTTTAAGTGCCACAGGACGTATTTATACTTCTAGACATGTTGTTTTTGACCCCTTGACTTTTCCATGCATTACAGGTTTTCTAAATCGACATTCACCGGTTGCTGTAGATGAATTCACTGCTCCTCTTATTGTTACCTCACCAGCAAATCTGGGTTCCAGTCATAAAATCTCAGAGCAAAATAATACCAGTGAGGATACTGTTCAAAGCCTGAATGTAACAAGCCCAATCAGAGAGCCTCAAGGGAGTCCGAATACAACTCCCTCATCAAGTCCAATCAGGGATTCATCAAGTCCTGGTCAATCAATAAATAATTCGGCCCAAGAAATGGATCCCGTGACTTCTCAGCAAGGAATACCAGTCCTGGCACAAACACAAGACTCGGTTCAATCTGCCAATATAGCTCCAGTTCAGTCCAATTTTCATCCTATGACTACTCGGGCCAAAGCTGGGGTGCACAAGCCCAAATATCCATTTGTGGGTCTTTTAACTTCAGAAGATCCGATTTCCATTGCTAAAGCTGCAGAACCAAGAAACGTATCAGAGGCTCTCGCCTCTCCTCACTGGAACCGTGCGATGCTTGATGAGTTTGAAGCGTTGCAGAAGAATCACACCTGGATTCTTGTTCCGTTCACTGGAACTCAAAAGCTGATTGACTCTAAGTGGGTATTCAAGACGAAATTCAAGGCAGATGGATCCATTCTTAAACACAAAGCTCGTCTCGTAGCCAAGGGTTTTCAACAGATACCAGGAGTTGACTATGGAGAAACCTTCAGTCCAGTTGTTAAATCTACCACTATACGGGTAGTTCTCTCCATTGCTGTTACTTTTCATTGGGAAATTCGGCAACTAGATGTCAATAATGCCTTCCTCAATGGTTTTCTTCAGGAAGATGTTTATATGAGGCAACCAGAGGGATTTCGTGATGCCCGACATCCTAATCATGTATGCAAATTGATCAAGGCAATCTATGGTCTCAAGCAGGCTCCTCGAGCCTGGTTTGATCGTCTCCGAATAACACTTTTGCAATGGGGTTTTCAGAACTCTAAGAGCGATGTTTCTCTCTTCTTCCGCAGGACACATGACCTCACGGTATTCATCCTAATTTATGTTGATGACATACTAATTACAGGGAATAATTCTGATTATCTGCGGAATTTTGTGCATAAGTTGAATGAATTGTTTTCACTAAAGGATCTTGGTCCCCTTTATTATTTTTTGGGTATTGAAATATACAGAGATGGATCAGGAATATATTTGAATCAGGGAAAATATACCATGGACATTTTGAAGAAGTTTAACATGACAGATTGTGCCCCTGTTCCTACACCAATGGTCACTGGACGACAGTTTTCTGCTTCTGATGGACAGCCACTATTAGATCCAATACAGTACAGGAAAGCCATTGGGTCTCTTCAATACTTGACTACAACTAGACCTGATATAGCTTACTCTGTGAACAAGCTTAGTCAGTTTTTATCTAAACCCACAGATGTCCACTTTCAAGGAGTTAAAAGGATTTTAAGATATCTCAAAGGCACTTATCACTATGGTTTGCATATTAAACCATTTAAATCACTTGAATTAACAGCCTTTACAGACGCTGATTGGGCAACAGATTTGGATGACAGGAAATCTATGGCAGGGGTATGCATATATCTTGGTCAAACTTTGGTATCCTGGTCCTCGAGAAAACAACGAGTTGTATCTCGTTCAAGCACTGAATCAGAATACCGTGCTTTAGCTGATGGTGCAGCAGAACTCAAGTGGCTAAATTCCTTATTGTTCGAGCTTGGTTTGTTCTTGAGACGGCCTGCAAAGATATGGTGTGATAATTTGAGTGCTCAAGCTCTTGCAGCCAATCCAGTTCAACATGCTAGGAGCAAACATATTGAGATAGATGTTCATTTTATCCGTGATTTGATTATGTCTGGCTTTATTAATGTACATTACATTCCTTCGTCTCATCAAGTTGCAGACTGCCTGACAAAAGCACTCACTCACTCTCAGTTTCTTTATTTTAGGAACAAACTCGGACTGTTAGTAACACCCTCTCGTTTGAGGGGGAATGTTAGAACATAGAATATTTGTATTGTATTTATAATCAGTGTACACCTGTAGCTATACGTGTAAGGCTCAGATTACATGTTTCTCTCACTGTAACTATTATTTAATGCAAAGGCTGGGTATACCTTCGGTACCCAAGAATATTCCCTCAATTCTTATCCATTTTCTCTCTCAGAATATTGCACTGCACAAGTATTAATTAGTTTTCTCTCCCTTTGCTGGTCTTGACCAATTATTTGGTGAAATTGGGTGTACCAAAAAATGAATATGTCAATCAATTAATGGTAGAGAGAAAATGCGAAAGAGAAGCGAAAGTGAACTTCTTCTAAAAGCACGTACAACTACAATTTATTGTGTGGGTATTCATAATCGATCATTTGTCTTCGATTTACCAAAGCTTTCATTGGGTCATAAGTTTACAATACCACTGTTACTTAATCATGCTGCTCACTAAATCATATATTACCCTCCTAAAAGCGTTACACACTACATGATGGCCGTTTTATCGAATGAGACAATTACGCAATTTCCTTTGTGCATAGCTACAAGTCTAACCCAGTTAATTATTTTTAGTTGGTTACAGTAACTTATAATATTAGTATAGAGAGTTAATGTAACGATCAGTGAAAGAAGAAGTAGGCTAAGAGACATGTTATCATAATAGATCATCGATATTCCGTAAGAGAGTTTGCAGCCATACCCATACATGCATACTAAAGAACCAAAAAAAGAAAAAGAAGAGTTGAAATTCTCATACAACACGAGCTAGGTGACAAACTGAAGTCACAGCATTTATTTTCATAATAATACCAAAACATGCTTCAAATCAGGGCCCGGGGCTCCTCATCATCAGTTCTCTGTCGTTGACGGAGGGTGCTTAGGATAATGACCATAAGACGGTGACGGGTGGGTTGGTGGTTTTTCCGTAGGTGGCTTGTAAACTGGTGGTTTCTCTATTGGTGGCTTGTAAACAGGAGGCTTCTCAACTGGTGGCTTGTAAACAGGAGGCTTCTCAACTGGTGGCTTATAAGTAGGCGGTTTCTCAGTTGGAGGTTTGTAGGTGGGTGGCTTTTCAACTGGTGATGGCTTGTATGTGGAGGATTTCTCAATTGGTGGTTCGTGAACAGGTGGTTTTTTAATTGGGGGTTTATAGGTGGGAGGCTTCTCAACAGGTGGCTTGTAAACAGGAGGTTTCTCAACTGGAGGCTTATAGGTGGGAGGCTTCTCAACAGGTGGCTTGTAAACAGGAGGTTTCTCAACTGGTGGCTTATACGTAGGTGGTTTGTAAACAGGAGGTTTCTCAACCGGAGGCTTGTATGTAGGTGGTTTCTCAACAGGTGGCTTGTAATCAGCCAAGCCAGAAGTGGTGAGAAATACCACCCCAAAGAGGAACGCTAACAAGTGCTTGGGAGACATTATATTGTTAATTGAGCTAGCTAGCAGTGATGTTGCAAGCTGAAGAGAACATGAGCTTTGAATTTATACTAGAAGGAAGGAGGTGTGTCGGAATTATTTCTGAATATTTTATTAACTAAAATATATTTAACAAAAATAAAAATAAAAAAAGTCAAAGCTGGTAGGCATATCATCCGGAATATCAACATGTATGTGTGAAAATCTGGAAAAGGCCCGTGGCTTGGCCTCAACTTTCTTTTCACCTTGATGAAGACTGTGTCTGCATATTCTTTTCAACTTGATCCGGGTCGGCAGGATATATTTAAATTTGTATATTTCACTATTCTAATTTTTTTTAAAGAAAAAACTGAACGCACACTCACACACATCACTTTCTTATCATATATATTTAAATATATCTCATATAGTCATTTTTCTAAATTTTGGACTAATTATAAGAACTTGATACGTTCATGATAATGCAGGTTAACAAATCAACACTTTCGTCGTTGAAATTTAGCTCATTGATATTCTACACTTAGAATTTCTCATGCTATGAGATAAATAGAATGAATGAAAAAATTTAATGAGCACAACTTAAACAAATTAAAAAAGTGAGGTTAAAAGTTTTTAATTAATTTTTATTACTTTTATCTTACATCTATTTTTTATTAAAATTTTAAAACTCCACTTTTCTAATTTATTTAAATTGAGCTCATTAAAATTTTTCACCTCTTTCTTTTATTTCCCTCATACCAAAAATAGGGTTACAATAACTAATACATGGGCCAGTTTTTTACCCTCGAACATACGCATACCTGCATATAATTTTTTTTTTTGGCTTGATTGTGATATATATTAGTACTAATAGTTACATCAATTTGGTTAAAGTTACATCAGAAGAAGAGCGTTGAGTAGAAAATTCTTACCCTGGGAGACTGTTACGTGATATAAAGGCTCAAGACACAGAAATATATGAAGGCGTACAATGCCGGACTGCCGTTCATTATGACTTTAATGCAAGACTGTTGCGTGACTTTTTAAGCACTCAGCTTCTTCCTCTTCCTGTTTCTGCAATTATTCTGAGTGTTACTGTAAAGGGTAGAAGCTGAATATATGGTGAATTTGCCCTTCATAATAGTAATTCAATTTAATTTTTTATGCTCAAATATGTAAGACTCCAGCCTCCTCTTGATAAAATTACACAACTTATCCAACAGGTAATTAAACTTTTAATCTATTCATTGATTTTTTTAAAAAAAATTATCACTCCTTTTCACCAAAACTAAAATTACAATTTATCTTCTTGGTGCAATGATGTTTTGGATTTGTTATTCACATTCGCTTAAAACGTATTTTTTATGATATTAAAAACATTTTAAACATGAATTTATAATTTTATAATATTGAAAACGAGAATACATCTCATTGTCTTGACATGATATATTTTTATATATTCAAATATACGCATATATAATAATATTTGAAATTTCTGGTCAGGATTGTTTGTTTTTCAATAGCTAAACTTAGTTGAATTATAAAAAGTATGTATATTTTAATTTTCATGCCTTAAAACACTAAAACATAAATTAAATAATGCCCTATACTTTTCCTTAAAAACAAACAAACAAAAAGTACGGGAGGAAGACATGAATTCACACTGCAATTCTGCATTAATTCGTTTTCTTATCAACTATTAATTTTGACAAATTATTGGGTGGAATGGATCTATCAAAATAAATACTACGTACGCAAATCGATTATGTGCGAAATCAAAAGAACTCTTGGCCTGAAAAAGAGAGAGAAGAAAAAGAATGTAAAACAACTTCATAAAAAGAGCGAACATCGCGCCAATTCAACAATCTACTAAAGTTTTCTTCTTCTTTTTTAATACCCTTAAATGAGTCTAGTATACTCATATTATATTAAATACTTTTATGGCTGATGAAGAGTGTAATTTTTCACATTTTTATATTTTAATTATGCAACTTCTGGTCTTTGAACCTATAATTAAAGTATAGTTAACTATCACAAAGTACCCTTGGTAAAAGATGGGGGGAAACCCTGGTTAAAAAAAAAAAACACTATCCCGCAAATACTAAGAAATGTGCTTAAAAAGTAGTTTAACTCCTTATTTTGTTCTGAATTTAATTTATTTTCAAATTTTTTCCTTAATTAAGTAGTTTAAAACATAAATCTAATTATCTTTGATTTCTTCCCTAAGCTATCTTATCTAATGAATAGTACTCCTCTAGTTTTAAATGCAAAACTCATTTTATGATATAATTTACACTACAAAATGAATCTAACATTAAGGATCGAATGAGTATATGTTTACTGAAAAATATTAAATTATCCAAATTTCTACAATATAACTTGTCTTTTGAATCATAAGAACTCCCCATAAAAGTAACTCTTACGGAATATAGAAGGGAGTGTATATTAAACTATATTAGTAAACATGGAGATGGATTGACTTTGTCAATATACAAACAATTAAAATCAAACAAACAAAAAAAGAGCTTACTTAGTTATTATCGTAGTTCTTTTGCCATGGACAATGGCACACTGCTTCGTTTTTGGTCCACCACGTCCACGATCAATCGTGCTGCAGACAAAGCCTATGACCTTTTTCTTCCCCCTCTTTATTTTTTTGGTTTATTTTGAAAAGTGAAAGCTTAATATTTAATTTATCTTCTTTCCATATCTTTTTATTTACGTGAAAACCTTGGTGTTTATTTTACATTTAATTGCACGTTAATAATTAATATTATAACATTAAATTTTAGTGAGCTTAATTCAATATTCTGAAATATTTTATTATTTAGAAATTAAATAAATGTGGCCAATTTTTTTAATTTAATTTTAAGAAAATTTTAATCATCTCAATATAAATTTGGTTTGATAAATTAATGGATTTAAGGGCTGTCATATACAACAAATGACATAAATTAGGAAAATTTAATCAATCAGCTGGCATTTGTAAATTTTGCGTAACCTGAATGTTAACTGACGAGCATGAATGAAATTTTTTTGCTCTAAATCATAGATAATAAAATACATAGTGATAAATACAAGTGGAAAGGAGACCAGGCCAAATCAGACAACTTTATTATAAATAATCAATATTTCATTTGGGAGACTACAATTCGTCTGTAGCCATAATAGCCATGCACGATACACACCGCAAAGCCAGAGGTATTACGAAAAAGATAAAATACTAAACAACAATTGGTGACAAACTGAGAGAAAACATGCTTTTATTTTATGAGTAACAAGATAGGCTAAAAATCATGGGATACTCAGTTTTTGGTTGTAGATGGAGGATAGTGACCATAAGGTGGTGGTTGATAGCTCGGTGGCTTCTCCACAGGGGGCTTATAAACGGGTGGCTTCTCAACAGGTGGCTTGTAAACGGGTGGCTTCTCCACCGGAGGCTTGTAAACGGGTGGCTTCTCAACAGGTGGCTTGTAAACGGGTGGCTTCTCCACCGGAGGCTTGTAAACGGGTGGCTTCTCGACGGGTGGCTTGTAAACTGGAGGCTTCTCGACGGGAGGCTTGTAAACAGGAGGCTTCTCGACGGGTGGTTTGTAAACAGGAGGTTTCTCAACCGGAGGCTTGTAAACGGGTGGCTTCTCAACCGGAGGCTTGTAAACGGGTGGTTTCTCAACGGGTGGCTTGTAAACGGGTGGTTTCTCAATAGGTGGCTTGTAAACTGGGGGTTTTTCCACGGGAGGCTTGTAAACTGGTGGCTTCTGAATTGGAGGCTTGTAAACTGGTGGCTTGTAAACTGGTGGTTTCTCAACAGGAGGCTTATAGGTAGGGGGCTTTTCTACCGGAGGTTTATAGACAGGGGGCTTCTCAATTGGTGGAGGGTTGTACACAGGAGGCTTTTCCGGTGGCTTATAGGTTGGAGGCTGATAGTAATTCGCGAAGGTTGAAGTGGTGAGAAACACCACTCCAATGAGAAACGCTAGCAAGTGCTTAGACGACATTGTCGAGCTGGGTTTTGTGTTGGATGGTGCAAATGAGGGAGCATGGACTCCAATTTAAAGTAGACGAGGGAGTGGAGTCGGTGGAGAGATGCTGTGGATCCAATTTAATTTAATATTTAAATTTAATTAATAAAATAATAATAATAAATAAGTCAAGGTTGGTAGGTGTGAACTTGATGAATATCCCCATGCATGTAGGTGGAAAATTGGAAATCCTAGTTTTTGCTTCAAGTTTTTTATCTTATCATTAATATGGACAGTAGATTGAGATATATGAAATTGTTTTATATCTAATTTAGTTCATAGTGATGAAAATATTTTAAATAAATTACTCAAATTCAGGCATTTATTACTTACGCCTCTTTATTAATAATATTAATCCTAGTTATATAAGAGAATATAAGAATAATTTGTGCCTGCACCGGCTCGGTTTGTGGCTGATTGCAGGGTTTATGTAATATAGTAGTGCTTACTAGCTGGGATTTGTTTAGTGAAAATGACTTATTTTTTTGTCAAAAGCAACTTGCCCGGCTGCAAACCATATTAAATAACTAAATAAATATACTAAAAGTAATATTGGAAATAATAGTTGAACAGCATCATCGACTCTCTCCATCCGTCACTCTCGAATGCACCACTTGATTTTAACACTTGCCTCTAAAATTGCGTTGCAAGTTGGGATCATTTTGTTTCAAGGGTGGTTCAGATTTTCAAAATCATTTATTGAGTTACTATATATCCGGTACTAAATATAAAAGTTAATTGATTAATTTGAGAAGGCTAAAAAAATAAGTTGAGTTAATTATTTATAATAAACAGGTATTATCTTTCTTAAAATATCCGTGCTAATGAAGTATATTAGCTAGAACTATCATTGTTACAACGACTATCTTAAAAAAAACACAAATTTAAGAGATAAAGTAAATCAGAATCTTATTTTTATAATTAAAATAAGATTTTATATTAAAGAGTAGAGGGAGTATTATTGAACAGACTCAGACGACGATGATTCCTCGAATAATCTCAGACACACACATCCACACATCCACGCAATCGAAACCACATTCTGATCGTACGTAGAAGGTGAAGACGACGACGTACAGGTGGTCAAAAGGTAGCGTTCTAGATCCCTACCGCCCATGCGTTGAAAAAGTCAAGGGATGACAAAAATTAGGGGAAATTACAATCAAATTTCAGAAAAAGAATTTAATTATTCTAAAGCCTGTTGATAATAACTGGTGACAAGTTACAGTATAAAAATGATAATTGGTGTATACCGCTCATTTTTTATTAGGATTTTAAGATAATTGATTTTTTTTAAAGATCTGATTGCAATTTCCCCCAAAATAATAAAAATAGAAGGATTAGATTTTTCTCCTTGTGGGGGCGGATCAGATCTGTACGTGATAGGTGGGGGGATAAGATAGGGTTTGACAAATGAGCACGTCCCCATGACTATTTGACCATTGGGAATAATTGTAGCCCTATTTAATTCCAGCTTGCGTTATCTTTTGAGATAAGCGAGTATTACAAGTTATCAATATTATATAAGCTTGAGCAGTGGAAGGAGTGTCGGTGATTTTTCAATTGGTGTTGTTTAATTTTTAACGACTCGTTTTCTCATTATTATATGTTAATCTTTACTGTCTTGTCATGACTCTATTCTTTACCTACCCTATAATATTTGATGCCATGACAAAATACTGCTAAATATCGCCCTCTACTTTTCCCCCTTAAAGCATAACTTCCGTTCAATGTTATCATTTTGGAGTTTTATACTCTCTCTATGTATATATATAGATAAAATAAAATGTTATTTTTCTGACTAAAAGATAATATGACTCTAAATTGGGATTTAAAAAAAAAAAAAGTACTCTCTAATTCAAAATATAAGTTAAAGCTTTTTAGAGAAGTTTTTTTTTTTATAAGATAACATCTATTTCTGTCTAAGCATTTAATGCATTCTTTTAATTTTATCCCCGCATGTTCTTTTTTCTTTGATTTATTTATTATATTTTTATTTATTCTCTTTATTAATAAGAACATATTTAAAAAAAATATGTCTTATATATTTATTATTTTAAACTGATTTTAACTAATTTTTAATAAATATAAATGATGAAGTATATTTAAAAGTTAAATAATATTCCTATAAATTGATTTTGTTACCCAATTAGGAAACTAAAATTTGTTGATCCAAAACAAGTGATATACGGAAGCTGTTAACTTCTACCACGTGGCCACGCAGGCGATGAGATTAGAGGTCGCATGTGCTGCCATATACTTTGGGTTGTTTGGTTTGGACTCGGCGAAAAAAGTGCTTTTCACCTACAAAATTTTTTATATGTTTATTTTGTATATCATAAATTTTTTAAAAAAATTATGGTTTTTTTTTCACTCAAATATTTCCTTTAGAGTAAAGTAGCTCAAAACATAATATAACAAGAATGTGTGTGGTTAAAATTTTTGTTAATTATCTCGAATGCGAATTTGCATTATTAACGAAATAAATGCTCCAGTTTTGCGCTCCTTATATAAATATATGACTCGATTCTCTCCTATATCCCATGTTAATTTTTTGTCCCATGATATTCATATTTATTAAGATATTTTTATCTCTGCAAATTAAATTCTGATCACTAAATCGTGGAGGTAATTTTGAAAAGGTGTAATAAATTTTGTCAATAATTAAATCAATTATTTTTTGATTTTATGAATTAGTTAAAAGGATTATATATTTATGATTATTGTTGTCAAACTTCAAGTTAATTTTAATTCCAGAGAACTCAGTTCGCCAGCGGAAGTTGGGGGGGGGGGGGGACAATATGAATGTAAAATCGAAGTGACTCGCCTCTAACTCATACACACTCGCTGAAATCGGGTTCACCCGTGGACCGAAGAGCGAGCTCGCCATTCGGATAAAACAATTAAAAAAATTATTTAGATAAAAACTAAATTATAATTTTATAACATATAAAATATATATATGAGATAAATTTTATTTTGACTTGCATAGAAATTTTTTTGCGAACCAAGCACCTCCTGAATTGAATTCGAATTAATCCCTAATCCTTCGGAAGCAGCCCCGCAACTCCTGACAAATATATAAAGGAATATTTATATGTTAATAATTTTGTAGTCTAATAACATGAATATTTTCTTATAAATAGTCGGTTTCAAATTTGACCAGCTTATAATTAATCCGTTAATGTCTGTCATTCTCGTTAAAAGTAAAATGTTTATGCGCGCACATCCAAAAGCGAAAAGCGTTCGCCAAAACGTTAAGCGATTCAAATAATAAACACAATTCCTACTATCTGAATTTAATGCGAGATCTTAAAGAAAAGGTTATAGCCAACTATAATTATGATATACGTATTTAATTTAATAAACAAATAAATACAGAGTTCAATATAAAAACAAAAATCTCTATCTCAACTATATTTGTGTCTATGTATATAATATTGAATTTATATATTAAATACAACCAATTACAAATCATAAATAATTTATTAATAAAGGCGGGTCAAAAGAATAAATTATTACAACAGTGTAATTTAAATTAAATTTAGATATTTTAATTGCACAGTACACTGTGAATGCCTTCTTACATATTTTAAATATTTTTTGCAATTTAAGAACTGGGCTTAGACTTTTGTGATGATTCACATTTCATCGTACATGATATAGCTTTAAACTTGGTATTTCTTTTTCTTGGGTACGAATCAACATTATGAAGTTATCTTACTTTTTTTTTTTAATTCATCAAAACTGGTGAATTTGATCTTTTTGATTTGAAAACCGAGGCTATTAAAAAAAAATTTTTTTTGGGGCCAACGAAGCAGTATAAAGTTTTATTACCATCATGCTTAAATATTTGTGCCTCCAAGCTCCCTAAATTACAAGACTAACAAATTCTGGGCCTTCAAATCAAATCAAGTAACACAAAATACTTTCCTAAAATACGAGTTTGACACTCTTTATGAATATGAGGCCAGCGGGAGCTTCTTCCGCGGCGTGAGAAATTGAAAGAAAATAAAAAAAGGTTAAAGCCATACAAGTATGAATACGTGTGGGCGAGTCCATAAATACGGTGAACGAGGGTGAGTTTCTTCCGCAACCGGAGAATAATATAATATGCCCAAATTAATTAATTGGGCCCTATGGGCACCAGAGGCAGTACAAGTTTAAAGCCATTAGAAGTGTCTACTATGCTATGGAGTCGCTGGATTCCTTGTTTGACTGTACCGCCTAAAATTATTAGTTAGGGCATGTGCTGGGTGGCAGCTGAATGTCAATACTTGGTAACGAAAGCCAGAAAGTAATTAGGAGTTGGATCAATTATAAGCAAGGCCTGACAAAAAAAGCAGTGACTTTCAATGCTCAACTAATTTTGGGGCCCATCATCCATCTGTCCTTTTCAGAGTTTTCCCAATCACCTTAATTTCCTCGTCACCATATAAGCTTCGTCTAATCGTGTTTATCTTCTGCACCTAATTTGTCCTTTCATTATCAATTTTTGGCATTATCTTTTCTCTTAAAAATCTGGGTTAGTAAGATCACAACCCAACGGCCCAGCACGCTCTTTCCCGGTGGCCATGTTTTCAAGCTATAATCATTTCTTTTCTTCATTTTTACTTTTTGTATTAAAAAAAAAAGGGTAACTAGTAGTTTTCTGCCAAATATTTTTTAGCCACGATTTTAACCAGAAGTATGCTGACACTTAAGAGTGATAGGTATCGTGTTTCTCTTAGTTTTAAGAACGAATGTTTCTACTTTCTCTTTCGTTCAGCAATCTCCCACTCTAATGACTTTCCACGTATCTACCAGTTTTCTGACCATGCAAAGGAAATATCAATGGGATCTTGAAGACCATGTAGATATACAGATAATCAGGCAGCATATTTGATGAAATTAAACCAAATTTTTTTTTTTTTAAAAAAGGAAACCACAGCACCGAAAATTTATTCCGATTTTTATAATGCTGAAGATTCTAGATTTGTAGGTCGATCTCTACTTTCCGACCAAGAAT